GGGGGCATGCGATCTCCCACCAACTCTGCAGTCATCACTTGTACTAGCTTATGATACCTTTTCTGCCACTCCTTTCTGCTAAGTTTAGTCCTTAGGGCAGCTGCAGTCACAGTTACTGTGAAGAATCCTAACCCTCTTTCAGATCCAAGGTGATCTGTGTGGCTTGGTATCTCATTCTGAGGGGAAGCAAACATTAGACTGCTCCTGGAATGATCCTGGGAGCATTTTGAGGAGTTTTCTTTTCCTGTAGTCTCCTTCCACAGGGTGAGCGAGGGCAGTATATTAGTCAAATGTTCACTCTGTAGCTTGTTTTGAAATGATAAGAGACCAGTTCTGGAGCTACCGTCTTACACCTGGAATGAGTTTTCCTTGGGAATGACCATTAAATTTTCCAGGAAAGAAACAACAAAAATAAATCCTATGCATCTTTTAGCCATGTGTGCACACCAAATCTATTGTTAGACTAGGATCTTTGTTGTCAATATCGGATTAAATTCTGTGCAGACCTTGTACATTCCAAGGAAGGTCTACAGTTTTCCTGTTCTTGTGGGTCTGTGTCATTGCTCTCATAACATAAAACTTGGGCTGGGTTAATTTTTTATGTATTATGCTGCCAACCATTAATCACAAGGTTTGCTGTGTACATTTCCGTTTTTACTTTTTATCATTTTAAAGTCTATATTGTATATAGACTACTTTAAACCAAGGTTAACTGTAATGCTCTTTTAGGAAATTGCTATGAAACATCAAACATGCATATAAATGTGTTACAGCATTTGGCCAATCAAAGACTTTACAATTCTGGCTTTACAACACATTAGGCCCATTCCACAGCATACATATACCATCCAAAAAAATCTTCAGAGTAATTTTTTAAAATAAATTCTCTCTCTCTCTTATATGATAATATATGCATGCTTAAGGATTTTTTGTATCCTTAGAGGGCCAGATTCTCCATCTGAATCCACACACATGGCTGCTGTACCCACATGGAGTCCCATTGAATTCAGTGGGGGCTCTTTGTGGGCTCAGAGATCTACCCATGAAAATCCAGTTGGATGATCTGGCCCCCACTATGTGGATTTTTCAAATACCTGATCCCCTGATTTTAGCAGCATGGAGTTTCACAAGTAAAAAGGTACAAGCCTCATCATAAGCTGTGAAAGTATATTTCATGGTCTCAAGGATGAGGTTTGATGGATTAAAAAAAAAATCATACCAAATTGCACTCTTATTGTAGCAAATGCATCTCAGAGAGATTTAAATCTTAACCTATTAGGTTGTGACTCTCAAGCTGTGTAAGGAAACATTAGAATTCATCTGCCGTAATTTTAAAAAAGCTATAAATGTTAAACATTGTGTTCAGAATTTTGTCAGTCTCTGAGAAAATTAAAAGTAATGAAGAAAAATGTTCTACAAATCTGTGGCATCTCTGTGCCTTTTCGTCTCAAGATGGTGTGAGAGACTGACAATTGTAATAACTTGGTACTACTCAATTCCAGTTTAATTTGATCTTGTTCCTTAATTTTGACAGATTGTTTCCAAGTTTCCCATCTGTTCCATAGATATCTCAGATGACTGAATCTTAGGAAAATGTCTAATAGCTGATCCTTCTAAGTAGATGCAAGTTATTTAATGTGATATCTTCTTCTCCAGATGCTAAGGAGGCCCAACCAAAGTAAAGGTTAGACCTGCATTAGGGGTGTAAGAAAGGCTATACAACCTCAGAAGCTAGTCTATCCTTCAAAGGGTCTCCACTATCCCGTCTAACTTTACGCTGTTGATTCAGCTTCTCAGGTGACTTATACTGTTTTGTAGCCACAATATAAAAGAAGGGAAGTTGTGACATGCCCCAGGGTGCAGTCTGGACTATGGAACCACTGTGCCCCCTTTAACTTTCCAGCCCAGGCTGTCTCTTACACTACTATGCTAGTGAACAGCAAACCCTACAGGCTCTGTTCACTCAGCCATCAGCATGCAGAGGCACGCCCAGCAAAGCACATGAATCCTCTCCCCAGCCACTCATGAACTGCATACAGGAGACGCCAGCAAATTCCCGCCAGCCCCAGCCTTAGCCTTGCACCAGAAATGTGCCTTCTACGCTGCTCAAGACTTTCTTGAGCAATGAAAGCTCATTAATTAGTTTGTTGTTCTGTCAAAGGGTAGTGGACATTCACCAGCCTTTGTAACCTGAATAGATTCCCCAAACTTCAATCAAAAACATACTGGCTTAGATAAAACATTAGAATAAGTTTATTAACTAAAGAAAGATAGATTATAAGTGATTTAGGCATAGAAGTTCAGAATTGGTTACAAAAAGAAATAAAAGATAAAATCGCCGTCCAATTCCTAAATTTTATCAAGCTAAATCCAATTTGAAGTAATGAAGTTTCTCTTACCCAAAAACCCTACAGCAGTCTGTAGCCTTTCCAGTTAGGAACACTCCCCCCAGTCCAAATGTTTCTTTGTCTTCCAAACGATCTTGTTGCCTTCAGTGTAGGTGAGGGAAGAGAGGTGAAGTGGTGATGTCATTGTCTCTTATTTTATACTTTCTTCCAAGTGCTGGAAACATCCTTGCTGTGTCATGGTGGTTAGGCAGCCCCATGGTGTATGTGCTCAAGCAACTGTCTTTCATGTGAATTGTAAATCTCTTGTTTACAATTCCCGTGCTGGTGAAGGCCGGGTGATGGCTGCTTAACACCTGGCTGGATGTTGGTCACTCCTTTGTTGCTACTGAAGAGCTAGTCTGTGGGCATTTCCCAGTCTTACAATGTGTTTCAGTAACAAACATATAGTAAAATTTCATGACTTCATATACAGTGATACATTTGCACCAAACAGTGATGTTCAACAGATTATAACTTTCCAAATGATACCTCATAAGACATACTTTGTACAAAACATATCGTAACACATACATAATCATATAATAGTGGTGAATATTGGGGTTTAGGGTGCTATTTGAGGTACAGTACATCACAGAAGTTCAATAGAGCAACAAACAAAAAATTACTCTTATAGGGACAGAATAGTATCCAGAAAAAAAGAAAGAGAAATTAAACATAGTCAAAGAACAATGCTGTGGAAGATCACATAATATACCGCAGTCTAGCAAACTGAAATATTTTACAGCTTCAGACTTAAATTCAGTCCTTCTCTCTTTACACAATATTTGGCTGATAGAGATTCTCTCTCTGGTTGAATATTAGGCTATCTGTAAACAGAAAAAAAATATCCAGCCCTGCACAATAGCCCAAAAAAGCTGTGTCCCTCAGTTTAAATTACCCTGCAAATGACATCTGGGGCAGGAGCCATCAGTATCCAACAGAGGTCTCTGTGTATCGCCTCAGCTGAGCCAAGCGCAGGTTTCTAGTGGGAGCAGCAGCACTCACTGGGGGTAGTCCCTCTTTATAGCCTACCATCAACTTTCTCCAGTGACAACTGAACATTTCCACTTATGTCCTGTAAGTGTGCGTTTACATTATGGTTGCACTATAGGCGCTTGCATGTTTCAGGTGGGTTTGCACAGTTACAGACTTCAAGAGCAGTGACAAAGGTGCATTTTGCCCAGATTTGGACTTCTTGACTGGGAGTATAAGGCAATTTTTTTTCTTTGTTGCACAACATTGTAGATTTGGAGGTGCGCATTAGTTACTGGAGTTACGTTATCTTTCCAAATGGGATTAAAATCAGTGTGGGTGCGGAGTTGTTTTTGCCCTCTTATGTCCTTGCACAGGGGTCAGCCAAATTCCAGCACCTAGTGCCCCAATATGTACATTAGGGTCTAGTTTAAAATAGATTTCTATATAGATAACTTACTCCTGGTATAGAAATGCTCTGAATAATGATTTTGACATTAGATGGAATTTAAAATACTGCTAAAGTTTCATAAAGATTTTGTATCTTAGTTGTCCCTTCAGTTATTTATATTCGTAATAGTTTTAAAAAAAAAACCTAGTAGCAACTGTTTGTTAGTAAATCATAGAATCATAGAATATAAGGGTTGGAAGGGACCCCAGAAGGTCATCTAGTCCAACCCCCTGCTCGAAGCAGGACCAAATCCCAGTTAAATCATAAATCCATAGTAAAAATCTATAGACATCATCATTATATTTCAAATATTGTTGAATACTTCTGCAAATATTCCATCATTAACTTAACCCACTGGATTGAAGAACTGTATGATTCATTGAATAATAAATGATCTTTCCAGTGATATGTACCTGCACCTAGGCATTGCAGATGAAGGGCTGACACCATGATGATGAGAGTGGTATAAACTTGCTTTTGTGAGTTTTAAAGGGACACCAATTAGCAATCACAGTTTCATCTGAAAATGTTAACTTGTTGTGTGTTACAAATAAAACCCAAGATTACTACAATGGAAAGAAATTAGAGACAGAAAAATAATTCTCTACTTTTTCGGTACTCTGTGAAGTATCAGTTTGTTTCCCCAGTATGGTGAGTTAGTCAGTTATATGTGAGTCTTTTGTATAGAAACCGGAGAAAAATCTTTAAAAAAATTTGTGAAACCACAAAAAACTGGTAGTAGCTGAAACTATTTATGACTTGATTTTGCAAATAGATAGACTTTTTAGTCCATGACTTCAATGGGGCTCCTTCTGAGTGCTAGGGTGCACACGTGAAGATTTGATTCCAGGTTTATAGCTTATATGTGTCCCTGATATCAGAAATAACTTGATTTTGGAAGCTCTTCCTGCTGTTACAATTAATAACTGTGTACTTAGTCTTTTTTCTTCTTCTTCTGCAAAGTGACTTAAGAGTGGATAAAGTCACCCGTGTTTTGGGGCCTGATTCCAAATCCACTGAAATCAATGGATTTTGTATCAGGCCCTTGTTGCATTGAACTGTTAATGAACATCATACATGTCTATATAGTCAAAAATAAAAGTCATGGGATGTAAGGTTAATAATACTGCATTAATCCATACTGGTTTATTCAGAGTGCATTGATTTGTTTTTTTCCCCCTCTTCCTTAGTGTCTCAATCCTGATATTTAATTCCTCTCGGCAATGCTTTGTTATGGTGAAGCAGTTCCGCCCAGGTAATCCTCTTCTTTAGCTTTACTTTTGCTCTCAAGTGAAGCAAGCTATTAAGGGTTTAGCAGTTAAAAGTTGGGGGGTGTACAGATAGTTGTGATAAAATCTTTGTTCCATATTCTATTCCTTTGTACTATAGCCCATTCTATTCTCTAGATCAGCATTCCACAGAATAGGAATTGCCTTACTAGATGAAACCAGTGATCCAGATAGTCCATTAGTCTGTCTTTGGCTTTAGCTACTGCTATGCTTCAGGGGAATTTCCAAACAGCCCTGTAGTGAGCAATTATGGAATAAGCTGCTCCTTTAGGAAGTTTCTTCTTGACCTATGGTAATTAGCGGATGGCTTATGCCCTGAATCATTTAGTGTTATGTTCCTTATTTTAAAAAAAAAAAAATCTTATCTAATGTGAGGCAGTATATGCTTGGGAATTTAAAACAGACCTCAAAATTAGGGACTATTGATACACTGTGCACAAATATATTTTTGTTTTATTGTATTCTGCAATGTAATAGGTAGATTATTGGCTCTCTTACTTGTAAGAGGGGTTGATACCTTAAGAAAGAATCTATCTAAATTAATTTTAATGTTTTTGTGTCAATTGTTATAACTTCTGACAGTTATTTATTTTTTGGAGGTTAAAAATAAGATGTATTTTTCCTCAGCATGTTGGTTTTAACCAAAAAAAAAAAAAAGAGAGAGAGAGAGAGAATCTAAAAGATATTTCTCTCTCTTTTTATCTCTGTTGCTAAGAGACTGTTTCAAGACCATTCTGGTAGATGTCACTGGAAACTTTCTGGTGCAGTGTCTTACCATCCGCACTTGCCTATAGTGATTGACAGGCAGTTCAGTGGAAAGGAATAATATTGTAACTTGTAGCTCATGTTTTCATTCAGCACTCTGTTGCCTATTGTAAGGAATAGGATTTATTTATATGCTTATTTAAAATCCTTATGTCTTTTATTTGCAACCAAATAGAAACTGCTAGTATGGCTAATACTCTCTTTGAGGCATTCTTAGGCGGCTCTAACTGCAAATATCTTTCATGATGCCTTTTTTCTAACAACTTTACGAAATTCACTCCTGTGCAGAGGGCACAAGGCTCAGTGCACACATTAGCCTTTTAGTACTATGCAAGACAGAGCTGGGCACATTTTGTCTTTGAATCAGGTCTAATGCATAATAAAGTTAATTATTTTTGCAAATAAAATACTGTAATATATAGTGTAATAAAATAGATTATTTTCAGGATGAATTTCTCATGACAAGAGAAACACATTAAGCTGCTAGATAATATGAAATTAGGTTGGTCCATAAGCAAAGGGAATAGAGAAAATTGACTAAATGTAATACTCTAAGTGTTCTGGCCAAGTGGATACCTCCAATGTGCCATCTCCATGGAAATCTCAGATTCTGCTGGCTCTAGAAGGCCTAGTCTTCCAAAAAGCCTTCTGTTTTGGTGTTCTGTTCACAGAGATCAGAGAGGGCCCTGACTGAGCTCAGAATGGCTGGCCTTCTCTGCAAATGGGCAGTCAAAGTTTCCAGTGCAGCTACTGCTCATACCCACTCCCACCAGAGTATTTGTGATAGGGTTAGCTTTCCATTGCCTGGGGATGATCTGCCATACTGTCTGTAAAAATGCATAAATTAAGTGATGGTTCTCTCTCTGTGTCCTATTTGCTCCCCTGTCAGAATCCCAGCAGAAAGAGGATAGGGGAAGGGAACATTTCTATGGATATTTGAGTATTTGGATGATAAGCAGCAGTTTAAATCACTAGGTGTATCTACTACAAGTGTGACTGTTGTATACCTGTGTCTGCCCCTCCTTAGACAGACAAGAGGTTAGGACTAATTAACTCTTCTGCTAAAATGAAAATCTAAAAGAATATTGCAGTAGTTTCCACTTTAGTCCCTTACAGATGCCCCATTGAGAGACTCTAGATATCATTAATTTGATAGTCAACGGACCACATCTTTCCAAATACGATTAAACAGTATGTAACTGGAGAAGACTTGGGTTAGTAACGCTAAACATACACCATGGGATTTTCAAGTTAACGTATAACAGCCTTTAATTGGATTGTACGTATTTGCTGTTCCAGTGACTCAAAATACATTGCACACAAGGCTTGTCACCAGCCAGGTTTTACCTCAGAGGGCTCCCAAAACAATTGGTGAAAACAAAAAGAAATCAAAAGTTTAAACAGCAAACCAGTTCCCTCCCTGAGCTGCTAAATTCCAGAAGCCTCTCCAAATCTGTACTACTGACTCCCCATTCTTTTTCCTTGGAGCGCAAGCAAAGCTTTTGTTTCAGTTACTTGAACGGGCTTGTTTTGGGTAACAATATCACCTGGTTTGACTAAGGCAGTTCAACTCTCTTCCCTGTGCCACAGCTGCACAGGAAAGAACTCACATAGTTAGGACTTTCCACTATGAGAATCTACAGATCTTGCCTACATGCTGGATCATTAGTCAAGATTCATGATTAGGGCCCTACCAAATTCACTGCCATGAAAAACGCATCACGGACCTGTGAAATTTGTTAGAGTAATTCTGAGCTGAACTGCGGTTGTGTGTATTGGAGGTATTTAGCTGCCTTGTCTGAAGTCAAGACTGGTGGAATCTGACCTCAATAACCACATCATGGCATTTTCCCAATTAAAGAAAGAAACGTTTTGGATATTTTCCCATATTAACCATCTGAGACAAACTCAGATTTTGGATGTTAGAGCAAACACATTAAAAATTCCCCCGGATTTGCTCAGTAAGATCCAACAAATAATGCCAGATCCTCAGCTTCGGTAAATTGTCATACTTCTCGGTGCTATGGCAATTTACACCAGTTAAGGATGTGTCTTCAGGATCTCCTTGACTTAAACCAAGTACCCTCAGTAGTGGGCTACTTCTTTGGGAGTAATATTCCTTTATAACCAACGATAAAAAGGGACAATAAAACACTGGACAAAGTTCAGTTGCTAACATTAAATTTGTCCATTAAATTTGTACTCTCTTATGTAACAGAGTTTTAATATTTGGAATGAGACTTAAACAATAAATATGCACTTTTTTTTCTACATGAAACCCATGTTACACTTATATAGTATATTTTAAACGTTATTAAGGTATAACTGTCACAGATTATTAGATAAAACAGCAGTTTTCATGCTGGGCATCTTATAACATGTTTTTCATATATTAGTATCAGATTTGTTAATAAAATAAAGGGGGTGAAAATGGGAAACTTTGCAAAGAAGAGACAAACGGAGCTACATCTGTAAAAGAAAGTTTGAATGGCTCTATATTTTTGGTAGTGCTTCTCTGTGTTTTAGGACCCAATCCTGCAGACTTTACTTAGGAAAAATGTCCACTGAGATCAGTGAGAGTTTTGACTAAAGACTGTAGAATCTGGCCCTTAGTATTTCCTTTAGGAGTCTATTACAGTGACAGCTGTTTCTAGATTAATGCAAAAGGTCCTTTGCAAATTCCACTCAAGAATCTGTGCAAGGAACTATATGTTCAAAAGAGGATTTTTCAAACAAACATACATGCTTTTCATAACCCTGTTCAAATAACAGCTGAGTTGACAGGCTGAAAGATTCATCATTGTGCACATGGTACAGAATGTACAGACCAACTTCCCAGCAGAGATAAATGCATAGATTAAAATAAACCCTGATATGTACATTGGCCAACAAATGGAAGCTGTTTTGAACAATAGATTTTTAGGTTCAACCAGCTGCGCTTAGTTTTGGTAGCATGTATGAGACTTCCATATCAATATAAGCAGAACTAATATTCAAAGGACCATTTCACAGAAATGAAATAGAAAACAAAAATTCCACTGCTGTTTTAATTTTTCTCAATTTTACTAAAAATCAACTATTGATTGCCCCATCAGTAGTAAATGCTTCACAATTAAGCACTAGTGTACCTTTATGATATTTTGTGGAAACAGATTTTCCAAGGTGTGAAATATTGCATGCTCCAGTCGCTTTTGTGGGTAGTTATTGTGGCCTGTCACTTTGGTATGCAAATCATAGAATTTATCCACACAAAACCCATCGTTGGTGTGTAAAAGTAATAATGTGCAAAAGTTGTGTGTGAATGTGATTTTTGCACACACACCAATGCAGGCACCTTTTAGAATATAGCCCTACATGATTTATTGTGTCTATTAGTTGGATTTGTTTTAAATTGCATGGTGAAATTCCCTGTGAGTAAGGGGTCTTTTTATGCCACTTGAAATGATATGGTAAGAGTAGATTTTTCCAAGCACAGTTGTTTTTTCTTTTGCATTTTTTTAAAGCTGTTTACATGTGTGAAATGGAACGGCACCGGCCTCAAGACTTTCAAAGTAAAGACCAGGATAGCTGGTGTCCTCTATTGGATCCCTTACCAGCTACAGAAGGCGTGACCTATGAACTCTGCGCTGGCATAGTAGACAAGCCAGGACTTTCTTTGGAGGAAATTGCATGCAACGAAGTCTTAGAAGAATGTGGTTATGACGTTCCCATTACAAACCTGAAGAAAATCACTTCGTTCAGGTAAATAGCAGCCAAGTTGATGCTTTGTATTTAACCTTTTTCAAATGACAATTGTTAGAATCGCCTAGGGGTAAATTAATTTCCTTGCCAAAGCAATGAGCTGGGAGAAACAGCCATCCACGATTGCTTAAGGGTGTAAACGCCAAGAAGAGGAGGAATTATTTAGGGAGATATAAAGGGCAATAAACTGAGATTAATGAGATGAAATTCAAACTGAGGAAACTTGGGCTAGTAAAAACTATTAGAGTGGGGAATAGAAAACCCCAAGGGAATTGGTGGAAAACCCATTGCTTGGGGCTCTTAAACATTGAGTGGTTGAAGTGCTAGAAAGTGTATTGTAAGAAACAATCCTATACTCACAGGATGATAGGCTAGCTGACCTATTAGATCTTTTCCATCTCTGATTTCCATTGTTCTAATTAAAAACTGAGCCGCACAACATGGGCTTTGAGCCTACATTGATGGGACCGCAGCATCAGGGTTTGTGCCACTGGATTTGTTCGCAGGATCAGGGCCATAACTGAAGCTTATATGAAATATGTATTAGGATACATTTTATATCACTTTATTGCTGACGCTGTTATGAACGTTTTTAATTTCAGTGTAAAATATTTCAATAAATTACATCAGAAATAAGAGGAGAATAATATTTGTGCTGTTTGGAATTAAAGAAATGTCAAGAATTAAATAATTTCAGAAGAAAATGTTTTCACAGCCTTATTGCCATTATATCTCCTTACCAGGCTGTAGCATTGTTAAAGGCATCTGTTACCATTATCCAAAATACATGTACAAATTAACAGAGAATGGCTGCAAGTTTTTTTACTTCATTTTTACTTGACAGCTCTATTGAACTAGACCCTGTCATTGGTTTTTAATTTGGGAATTGAATACAAATCCACAGCTGTCAATCCTGGCAAATGTTATTTCCTGCTGGATTAACAAGCAACGCTTCTGATGGAGGAGGGTGTGAGGGGTGAATCATAGGAGTTGTCTCTTGCAACTCCTTGAAACTAGATTACAAACTAGGTTTGTTCTACTGAAAGAAACCGTGCTTTCTAGAATTAATAACAAAAGCTGTTCATAGTATTTTGTATTTTGTGTGACATTGATGTGCTGTACCGACACAGATACCTAAAAAAAATCTTTTAAAAAATAAGTTGTGACCCTATTTCCATTGTAAACCCTCCATTTTTAGGGTTTATGACTCAAAAGTAAGAATTCCCATTGAGCTGAAACAACATACGTTCTCAGTTAACAAATGTCTTTTCATTTTACAGAATATTTTTTTTAGTTGAGTTACCCAGGTTTTACTTGCAGTGTGACTCCCAGATAAAATACACTTAGTGTGGTGATTTAATTTTTAAGGCCCCTGTCCTGCATTGTGGTCCCTATGGGCACAGCAGTTAGCCTGTGCGGAGGTCTATCGAATGGGGCTCCAGGCAGATGGAGTGATTCACTTTTTTAAATCAAAATGCAGGATTGTGGCTCTAAAATGATATTTTTCTGGCATTTACTTTTCACCTTGGAATAGGGTGTTGGTGGTTTGTTTCAATTAAAAACTAATGTATTTAGGTCACCTGTTGTTGGATTTTTTATAACGCTGCACTGCCACATGGGAGACAGAATTGATTCCAAATCCTGTGTTCCTGCTCCCTTAGAAGGAATATGTTCAGCTCCTGTTGGGGAGAAGGGCTTTTGCATCATTTGTGTCTGGGTCCTGTTCACTCTTCCTCAGCTTGCAGTGTGGTGGTCCAACATGAGCCTTGAGTATTGGCTGTAAAGGCAGAATATGAGAACTGGTCCCCTCTGTCAGGGACATTGAGTACCTCCAGAGGAAGTGGGGAGAACACTAAACATACCAATATCAATGTCTGAAAAAATAATGTTCTTCAGATTGTTGAAATGCATTCTAGATAGTATCTTTATCAACCCTCTAATAGCCAATATAAAATGCTGACATAAGACATTATAATGGCTAGTATGTGTTTGTTCAGTGATTTCTGGATTAACATATAGTACATTAATCAGATCCATTATTATAGTATATCATCGCAGTGATCTATATAACAATTTTTCCATTAAGTATTTATTGACCCAATATTTCAGGTCAGTATTGTGCAGAGTTCTTCACATTGTACAGCCTTGCATTTTCAGTCCCCACTGCTTTGTTCCTGGAAGGATCTCAACAGACTTGCACTTGTGAAATCAGTTTGATGTGAACTAAGAGGAAGGTGTCTGGACATATAGTAAACAGTAGCATGTCAGTGCTCATTCTGAATTTCCTTCTTGTGGAAGTTTGAATTTAAGCAGTGAACAGTAATCTAATCTAGTTTTTATTTGTTTTCATAAGTGAAGCCACTATTTTAGTACAATAAAATTAGGAACATTTTAAAGTTATGACTAGAAAAGTAACTATGCAAGAGTGACACCTTCTTACCCAACAGTATGACAGCTATTGTGGGTGAGACTGCAGCTTGCCCTATGGGCCTACATAGGCAGTCAGAGGTTATAAAGTTTTAAGATCAATCCCCTGCCTGGGCTTCCCACACTTGCGCAGGTGGGAGGGGAGTAGGAGGGTGGGGGGTGGGATTGTGAGCAGAGCTTTTACTCTGCCCCTCCTGATATGCTGACCATCACAGCTGATACAGAACAGAGGAGAAAGTAATCTGCTGCTGTTATAGTCCAGGAGCATGAGTGTAACAGGAAGTGAATTATGGCTCTTAGAGACAAAATGTATTGTCTGGTTTGCTCTGCTCTGGGGGCTTTGGAGTTATGTATCATCTCTTACTCAGGGCAGCTTGCATAGTCAGTCTAGCTTTATGCTATCTGTATTATAGTTGGGGCTGGTAGCCGCACCTATTACTAAGACTGCCTGACAGTTCCCATTATAAAGATTCTGGTTTTGGTTGCTTATAATTTTGCCAAAATTTAAGCATTTGGGCTGAAATTTTATATGCTGAGTGTCTGCATCAGGCTGATTTTTTTTTTTCCAGCCAAAATGGTTCAACCATTTCTGAGAACCAGGCTAGTGAAACATATTTTGCTTTGACTATGTTCAAAAACATTCTGGTGCCCTCTTCTTTGAGAAACTTTAGCACCCCGATGCTTTGGAGCACTAGAATGCAGTCCCCTCCAGAGCCTTGAATGAAACCCATGATGTCTGAGTTTCACCATTCCTATGCATTCCTATGAAACCCACTCGCAAAGTGTCTCATCCCACTCATTTACTAATTTTTGGGTGCTTGGCTTTGCAATTTAAAAATGGTGTTTTAACATGGTGGTGTTTTTGTGTATCATTATTTATAGCTCCATCACTGTGCTAGGTACTTTAGAGGCGTGTAAGAGAATAAGACCTGTATTCCATTGGATGCAGCAAAAAGTATGATTATAATCTTATAAAAGAAATAAGTTTTTCTGTGTCCTATGAGTGACCAGGTCTGATGAAGTGAGCTGTAGCTCACGAAAGCTCATGCTCAAATAAATTGGTTAGTCTCTAAGGTGCCACAAGTACTCCTTTTCTTTTTGCAGGTCTTTTGTGTTTTCCCTTTTATTAGATGGTGACAAGTTTCCTCCCAGTCCCCACGTGGGTGGCTATGGTTTCAAATTTGAACTTGTATGAAGTTCACCTGTGAACTAGCATTTTAGGCTGCAACACCCTCAGTGCCATGCTCAAGCCTTGTTTTATTGCACTACTGAAGAAAAAATAATGGAATTTTTCTTCCTGATTGCAAGGTATCTATTTAAGTTCTACCACTCCCAGGAGTTTTAAAATTTTCAAAGTCTTCCAAGAATATTTGTAGAGTGCTTTTTAGATTTTAATAATTCAGCAGAACAAGATAAAAATTACTGGTTGTTCTTCTTTGAGTGCTTGCTCATGTCCATTCCATCATAGGTGTGCGTACACACCGCATGCACAGTCACTGGAGATTTTTCCCTCCGTGGTATCCGTCAGGCTGTCTCTAGCATCCTATATTGCTGCATGCTCATGTGCTGGTATAAGGGGCCCGACTGGCCCCACACCCTCTCAGTTCCTTCTTACAGCCCGTGATGGTCACTGGAACATCTTCTCTTGCTTTGGCAAGGCGTTCATCAGTGGTTCTTATTATTCCCTCCTTTCTTTCTTTTCAAGTTTTCTTGTCTTCTGTTTATTTCTTTTAGTAGTTGTGTAAATAGTTGGACCCTCACATTTGTTTAGAGGGCATCCTCTGCCCTGAGGCCTGGCATGCCCCTGGTCTCCGGGCTCCAAAGCCAGTGCCTCCTGCGGCAAGTCTATGCCAGTGAGTGACCAACACTCCAGCTGTCTGAAGTGTCTGGAGGAAGCTCATGTGTGAGAGCATTGCCAGATCTGCCACCAGTTCAAGCCTTGAACAGTGAAGGACAGTGAGGCTAGGCTAAGGTCCATCCTGATGGAATCCGCAGTCAGACCATCGTCGGAGCCAAGCCAGTCAGACTCTGCACCGAGTACCTTGGCACCGAGTACCTTGCACCGAGTACCTGCTCCTCCAGCAGCACGGGTCTCTTGGCACCATTCCCCTTCACCGGTGCTGAGGAAGAAGTACAAAAAGCAGCAGTTCAAGAGGGAACTGAGGAAGGACAAGCATGGGGAGTGAAGCAGGGTGAGACCTGTGTCAGGCCACTTCTCTGCCTCTGCCCCAAAAGTGTCAACACTGACCTGCTCACAGGTGCCGTTAATCTGGTGCAGGACCAACTGCTGACACCGGGGGGACAGTGTGGCACCAGTGGGATCATGGTGCCGTCCACCCCAGAGGCATTTGCCACGGCCAGGGATCTGATGGCACTCCTGGTACTGCTGACCCCGGCAGGGCAAGATCCCACAGTGGTGAGGATGGCAAGCAGAAGGGAGCATGTTGCCCTGAGATCCTATCCAGCACCGCGTCCTCCGGAGGGAAACCGACCCTGCTGATGTCAGCAAAGGCTTCCCCATTCTGGCACCATTCCCTGGACCCTCGACACCAGCCAGTGGAATTAAGGGGTAC